CGACCCTATTTAATGTGGTTGTCGTTCATTTGAGCTCTGGTCCACAAGGTGGGCAGCACGACTTATTCAGCACCACAGTGTTGCCTCTCACTGCACGATCATCGGCTAGAGGACCATGTCGTGAGATTGCCATTTGCCATCTTGGTACCGTAGCACACTACATTCGTTTAGATTTGACTGATGATTGTCCATTACCGCCTAATCATTTCATGTGGTTCCAGTTCCGAGATCAATCGGTTGTGGGTTGGGAGGATCAGTACGAGTCTAGGTTGCGATTGTGGTATACTGTTCAAACAAATCCTTCTTGAATAAAAGAACGATATTATTCAGTTATGGTATGACGCTTCTCATTCAAGTTAAGTTTAGCAAATAAAAATAAATAAATGAATCAGATCAACTTAAGTTTAGCAAAAAAAAAAAAAAATCATTCAACTTAATGTTTTTAAAAAATCATTCGACTTAATGTTTTACAACAATAATTAAAAAAAAAACATTCATTACATCATTATTGGGCATTGTCGTAATCCAACTTAAACTTAGTCAGCTGTTCTTCGACTTCCGCCGCCACCGGACATTCGCATCCCTGCTGCCAAATCGATGTAATGCCCAAAAGACGGTCCACCCACTAAAAAAATGGAAGAATGAAAACATAAGACTAAAATTTATTAAAAAAAAAATTATTGTAATGAATTAACATTAATTAAAATTTAGTAACCAACTTACATAGGCGGTATTGACACGCGTTGGGACCTCGTTCTCGTCCGGCAGCTCCTCGCCCATGAGAGTCGGATGGGAAACCCGACTGTACCACTGCTGGTAATCCTCAGTCGCCTCCCCGCGATCCTGTGTGGTGTGGGTCAACATACCGGTGTTGACCGTCCCAGACATCGGGAACTGGGTCCAGGCACCTATTACACCAGCCTCAGAATGCTCAACCTTGTAGTTCCTAGACTCCCAAGCACGTACTGCACTGATTGACGGGTATATAGGGGGAGGGACAGTCTGGACATACCCCAACTGATGCAGACACCGCGCAGGCAAGTACGGCTCGACGACATCGCGGTATCGAATCAATCCGCTATAAAGAGTTCTCGGCTCTATCGCATCTGGGCTGGAGCTACCGTATGGCAACCATTGCACCTGTTCACAATCGCATAAGAGCATTTATAAAAATAATTATATTATTTTAAATAACGGGTAACTAAATTTAAATAAAATAACTTCACGTACATCGGAGGCAGTGAGTCTGTCGAGGCGCCGACGGATGGCTGTGAGCCGATCGTCTGACCGTGGCGCATTCCCTACGCTCCACGAGCATGATCGTGCGAGACAGTCAGGACCGATGGGTAGACGCCCCCGGGGTCGGAAATCGGGAAAATACTCATATATCCAAGACTGCAGAAGAGTCAAGCAGCCCGACATCTGGGCAGAGTCCCATCGGCTGGCAATACCTAGCTGTCTGTACATGTATGCCAGCGTAGCCGATCCCCATGAGTAACCCCCAATCAAATCCAAGCCGTCGAGCACCTCGTGCAGGAGCTTGGGGTCACTCTACTACCACTCTTGTCGACGAACAAAGTGGTAGCCAGCATCACCCACATCCAGGCACCCGCCTCATCCCTAGCCGGCCGGCGTTTCCCCCTGAATGCCCCCGAAATGGCGGCTTCGGACACCGAACCACGCTGCCAGAACGAACTCATAAGTTCGCCCTTGGTGACCGAAAGTATTGACATGCAGAGCCCATGGCAAGCGTCTGAATCCGGGTCCTCAGCGACCACGACTCCCTCCACTGGAACGCCCAAAATGGCCCGGACGTCGTGCAGCATGATGCTCATTTCACTAAAAGGCATGTGAAACGAGTTAGTATTCGGCTGCCATCGCTCCACAAAAGCAGAAAGGAGTGGGGTGTCCAAGTGGGTGTGCATGGAGTCGACCAAATGTGACAGCCCGGTCTGGTCGAGAAGAGCTCCCGCATCGAAAGACATCTCTTCACGCCAAGCCTTCAGATTCTCGATCGCTCGCAGTCTGTTGTGGCATTTCAGCGGCCCCATCAAATTCCCACTCCACATGCGGGAGGCGACGTGCCCAAGAAAGGTAGGGATGACACTCCCATCAATGGGCCCACCGGGCACTGGGCCTCTAACGATCCAGGGTGCATCATCATCGGTCCTAGCTCGTTTGCTAGTACCTGCATTAAAATACAACATATCTGTATATATTGACTTGCTGGGAGATGCATTAAATAAAATATATTTAATAAAACATATTTCATTAGTTACGTTACATTTTACATTTTACGTTAATATTATAAGCATATATAATTTATAATTATTAATATTATTTTTTGAATTTATAATTAATTACAATTTATTCAACTTACCCTAAATTACAAAATAATTATACTGTAGTTGAGGAGCAGGCCGATAATACTTTTCTAACAGTACCGATAATTTGTTATGATTAAGTGAAAATAATTTATGTTAAACAACAATAAATAAGTAAATTATTTACCTGATGAGGATGCAGATGGGCCAAAACGTCCCCCAGCCTGTCGTTGAGGAGCAGGCTGTGTGGGACGAACAGCATGTACCGGACGAACATGCTGTAGAACCGGCTGTACCGGACGAACTGATTGTACAGTAGGACGAGGGTGGTTAGGACCCGTAGGCTGTGCGTGGTCCTGATCATCTGAAGAGTCGTCCGAGTCATAGTCATCTGGACCCGGCTCCCTCTCGCCGTACGACTCATCATCAGCATACCCCTGCTGACCATAAGGTAATGGTACGCGTGCGCGGGGGGTATCGACTTCCCTGCGTAGCGGGGAAAAGCACATCCCGGCTGATCGTACGGTCCTGGTGCCGGGGGCATCGTCCTGCCCGCCTGGCCAGGATAATAAAATCCATGTTCGCCGTACGGGAGGACTCCGTGGGGTCGCGAACTATCTGGCTGGCCCTCAAAATGATATGGACCAGTGGGCACTGGTGCGAGGGGGCGGGAACTCTGGCTAGCCTGACGAAGCTGTACCCTACGAGCCTCATCGATCAACGCCTGCCTTTCCGTGTCCCTCTCCCGACGAACGGACGCATTGACACCCCGACTTCTAGTGTGTCGGGTGCCAGAACCATCATACTAGTCATCGTATGCCTCGTCATCGTCTCTGGCATTAGATTGTCCAGGTCTGCCAACACCCTGAATCAGAAATATAATTATTAGATTTTTCCATATGTAATGATTATTCTAATAACTATTAAAATAGATTATAATTCATTTTTCTTTTCATATATAAATTTTATTAATTATTATTATAATTATAATTGTTGAGATTTATAATAGTTATTATAATTTTTTAGTTCAATTATTATAATTAATACTAATTTATAATTATTATTATATTTAATTATAATTATCATTACAAATTATAATTATTATTTCTTATAATATTATTATTATAAGCATATATAATTTATAATTATTAATATTATTTTTCAAATTTATAATTAATTACAATTTATTCAACTTATTATTATTATAATATTTAATAATTATTATTATAATATATAATTATTATTATTATAATTTATTATTGTTATTATAGTTATTTCTAATTTGTAATTATTATTATTATTATTATTATTAGAATTTATAATTAATTACTTTATATTCAACTTATTATTATTATCATATATGATTATTATTATAATTTATAATTTATAATAATTATAATTATTATTATTATTTATTCTTATTATAATTATTAAAAAAAAACCGAAAAATGTCCGGCCGGCGGTTCCGGACGCCCGGAACCGGACAATGAGAGAGCCGCCCGGTTCGGCCGACCGGACGGTTTTTGCTCCATCCGGAACCGACGACCGGACGGACGCCGGCCGTCCGGAACCAACGGCCGGCCAGATTAAAAAAAAAAAAAATTTAAAAATTGTTCCGGCAATAAAAATAAAATAAAATTTACCTTGTTGGAGAAGAGTCCTTTGCCGATGCCGTAGAATTTTTTCGACATTTTTTTGGATTTTTTTTTATACTCAAATCGTTCGTTGAAGTTCGAAAATTTAGAGAGATAGAAAGTTTAGAGAGATGAAATCCAAAAAAAGGTTAAGGGCAAAAGAGTAAATGGGGGGAGGGGCGGTGACTAGTAAAAGGGGGGCGGTGAATAGCAATTGAGTTGAAAAAGAGACGCGTAAAGACAATCCTTTCCAATTCTATAATCTCTTTTCATACATATATAACTCGTGATATAAAATTGGCATTAAATTATTACATAACATATATAAAGAAAATTATTCCGTCCACCTATAATTTTTTTTAATTGTAAATATTACTAACTTTCAATTTATGAATGTTGATTGCTTGATTGTATTAATTTTTTTACATTAGTTTCAAAATTATATCAATTTTTTATTTACCACTTGTTTATTGATAATTTATATATAATTTTATTTTATATAACTTTTTATTGTAAAAAAAATCCAAAAAATATGGTAAGCCAAGTATATATTATCGACTGTGACTCCGTGAGCTTTTGGGCTTCGGGTGAGAGCATTCATATTTTACTATGACGGAGGATGGCAGCAGGCTCAATGGACTAGCTAATTACGACCCACTAATTCAATTAACTAACTAGTCCAATATTTTTGGGCCATAAGAAATAGGCTAAGCATATATCAGATCACATTAATTAATTTGAAAAAACGACACTCATCAAATTTTATGCCACTATGCTCTTTCTTTTCAACTGTTCTCTCTTAATATTTCTATTATTCAAGTTGGCTTGACGATCAATACATCATTTTATGTATCTAATTCTGGTCTCCACCTTTTACTTTGTTAGTCAACAATGCTAGAGAGAATACAACAACTTATTTATCAACATTTTTTTTTTCTTTTTCTTTCTGATGCACTTAATTTGCTTCACAATAGTATATATAGAGATTTTTCTTTCTTTATTTCTTNTTCCAAGTCACAAGTTAATCTTATAGAACATTTCACTGAACTACCTACCTGTGCAAGCTCCTAGTTGAAGGCCATTTCAGTGAAACTAAACTAAAGCCAATACTAATTAGTATATGTCTTTCTCACGTCCGCGTAGTACTATTCGTAGATGAACCTTCAAACCGTATATAATCGTACAAGATCCCTCTCCAAGGGATAGAAGCTCTCGATTGAGTCAAAAATATAGTGTTTGTAGAATCATTGACAAGTAGAGAAGCCGGTACATTGACACTATATAGCCAGTAAAGTCCATGAATTCCATGCCGTGCAATTGCATTGTCCTTCCCTATCAAACCCGTGCTAAAATGTGGCCTTTTTGCAGCCCCATCATTTATCCGAACCTAAGACAAAAACACAAATATGCCGTCAATGTACTTGCAAACAATATAGACCAAAAAATATAATTAAATCATATTTGTTATATGGTTTTACCAGTAATTCAGCGTCAGTAGCTGATGCCAATGCAAGTCGGAGGGTGTAATCGGCCGATACATTTTCGACGCTTGTGAGGTTGAACATAATCGTCCAGGTTGTTGGTACGTATGTTTTGTTTATTTTCCTATATATATTTCAAAATATGTATGGTTATAAAACAAATACCACATATTTGAATAATTGAATTTCAATATGTGTACCTGTTGACATGAGCAAAATACCAATCTGTTTGGTAATTGCATGTTTCTACTGTATAGACTAAATCTTGATCTGGGTATAACTCTGTGTACCTATCCCACAATCCATACTGCCTGAACCTGCTGAATTAATTTAAACCAAAAGATTTAGCAAAGAACTAGTAATATTTGTGGATAACTCACTAGAGACGAAATCTTCAGTCACTAAGCATGCTTCGATACAAATTCAACCCAAAAAAATTCAATCATTTTAACTCAACCACTTTTTTTAATTAACTTTAACTCAATCCCACAACATCAATCTTAATTTACATAATTTTAACAAACCATCACATCACATCTTCTCTCTCCTACTTCTACATCAATCTAATTTTAATCATTTTATTTTAAATATTATTTTAATACTTACTTATCGGCCTGACTACGATATAACTGGTTCATGAGTTGTGGGTTTGGATCTGGCACGAAAAATTCAGCAGCCGTACGATCAGGAATGCCGATTTCCCATAAGGTAGGCCCATTTCTTGGAGGTTCGAATACGATATTTCCAAGCTTAATTTCGCCTCCTAACAACAAAATTAACACCATCTCTATTTTCAAATATGCGTGAAAAAAATCATTCTGAATTAGATGTCGTAAAATGTTGGTTATTAACCTGGTAGCACATCGATTACATATTCGTACATGTAGTCGCCAATAAATCCAGGGACCCAACCATAGAGACAATACTTGCCAGGTCGAATGCCGGTAATGATAAAATACCCCAAATCATCCGACTCACTCCAAAACTGATAGCCCTGGAGAAAAAGTGAAACTATGTTACATATTTGTTTGTGTAATGAAGCCAAAGTGTCTTTTTTTTTTTTTTTCCAAATAATTTAATGAAAAACCTTGTTTTCTCTTTGCCATGATCCCAGTTTGCCTGGTAAAGCTAACCCAACATAAGCCGAGTTTGCAGTCATCAGATTGTCATTGATGTAACTAAAAGGCCAATATAATGTTACATATTTTCCAACAATTAGTTTTCATTAATTAATATTTGGTTAAATGTACTTTGTATATTTTGAAAAGTTTGAAATTAATACCTATCGCGAACAAGTAATCTTCCACTCACTACACCACGCTGATCGGCAAAAGGAAAATCATCCGAGGCTGGGAAATCATAAGGCCAGCTCTCGGTTTCTATGAGCATCTGACAATGTAGCATCACAGAAAAGACAAATGAAAATCGAAATAAATTGGATATTCTTGAAATTAATGTAAAAAAAAAATAAAAATGATGCTAGTAGTACCTGTTCCTTTGCATCGGCCCACAGCGTAAGTGGATCTTCACCGCTGTCAACCGAGTTAAGGTAGATAAAAACGGGCCCAAATACCTTTTTCCAAGGTTCCCCTTCTTCAAATGTTATTACCAGAGGTAGTCCGGCATAATGAGTGCTAAAAAACATCTGCACAGAACAGAACATTTCAAGTATAAAATTATCCGGTTACTTTTTCGTTCGCGAATCAGAGCTTTGACCAATCAAGCCACGATTTAATAGGATATTATGACATACTGATAGGGAAATCGGGCCTGCGTGTGAGGTGAGGTCTTGTTTGACGGGCCCAGCTGTCTTAAATTCATTGCTTGGTGTAATTACCCAAAACCCAGTGGGAGGGTCAATTGCTATCCATCCATGAACACGACTATCCTTGTTATCGCTCGAGTATTGATACTTGTCATCAACCTATATTAATATTTGGCAAAATGCATAACAATTTTAATTTAGAATATTTGACACTCATTATATTACCTCTCACTTAGCGTGTAGCTTAATCGAGTCGAATTAAAGCGGTCATGAAAAAAAATAATAAATTTTATTACCTCTCCTCTAAGTAAAGAATTGGCTGGATTTGTAAGAAGAACAGCTTCCGGATAATCGAGAACCTGACCTCTCTCGCGATCTTCAGTTGTAGGCATTATCCTTTGTCTGTCATCAGACACTGCCATGTATTCAAACCTAAGAACAACACAGCCCAATTAATACCTTAAAAGAAAATATATATATTTTGTTCAATTATTGCGTTTAGTACATAAAACTAATTTGCTAATTGATATATATTTAAGATTAATATTGGGAAACAAAAAACCGAAAGGCAGTCTTACAGATCGTGCTGAAGTTTGAACACGATGCGCCCTTGAGAAAGGTTAACGTCAGGCCAACCTTCCAAGCGCTCGAGAATCGCGTACGAGTAAAATCCAGAGTCACCACGCAACATTATGTACCTTATAAATATAATTGGAAAGTATAATAATATTATTTCTATTTTGATTCATAGGAAAGTGAAGGAAAATCAAAATGCACCTTTTGTCAATATTTAAGGGCAGCCCTGTTTCTGAAGTATTATTATTCCATGTTCTCCAGAATGAGATCTCAACTTGATCGTCATCTTGCTTTACAACTGTCATACTTGTTCCATCAAGCCTAATATATGATCACAACGTGATATTATTATTAAATCATATGCAACATTATATTTAGAGTAAAATATATGCAACATTCAAACTTACTTGTCGATAGTGTCCTGAAGATGGCTTCTTTTGTTCCAATAAATGTCCCAATACCTACATTAGTTTTTATTTAACAATGGTAAGTAATCAGTGCAGTCATGGATAGAGTTACAACATGCGCTTGGTAATTAAAAGAATTTACCCGCGGTTATCTCGAGTGTAAGTTTTTTCCAGTAAATTTTCGATACCATTGTACTTGATTCCGATGATCATTCCATCAGGGGTCGAGAAAGTCACTCTGACTATGCCATTGTCAAGAACCACCTAACAATTCAGTTAAATTTCGATCAGACGGTAAGTTTTACAGTTTATAATGGGTGAATTTTAACACAAGGAAAATGGTGTAGTTATAAACATTTTTTTGTTTTTGAAAAAAAAAAGACAATAATAGTTTTAAAATGAGGCCTTTACATGGTGTTCCGATACATGCAACTGAACTGGCGGGCAATCCATCTCATTATAACTGTTCTGCTTGTGAACACTTCTGCATTTGAATAAAGACAAGATTTTAGGCAAAAAGGCAAAACATAAATAAAATATATTAAGCAAAACATATTCTGAAAAAATGTAAAAAAAAAATAAAAAATATATCCCATTATATATATATACATATATCTTTTGGGTTTCCTCATTCAGTATCCAAATCAAAAGCACCCCTAATTTTGCCTTGTTTTAGTTTTATTTTTATTTTTTTGATTAAAAAAAATGTATATATGCAATAATCCAATCCCCTTTAACTATTTTCCACATCAAGGACAAAAATGTGAAGTTGTTTAGAGCCTAAAAGATCTTCAATTTTCTGTTATGTCAAAATATGTTCATTTCTTAGTTTTATATGCTTATTTCCAGAAAAAAGTACTCTATAGCGACTTGGCTAAAGCTAAAAACACCAGAACTATAGGCTTATACAGTATACCAAAATTTCACTAAACAGTGTCAAATTTTCATTATACTGTCAATAAATACACTATAGTCAATAAGTTGGACCATTTAGAATGTCAATAAATACACTATAGTCTAATTTTATTATGCATTTCCAGAAGTGTTTTTTCTTTTCTGAAGTACCCCTTTACTAAAACTAACAACAATACGAAAATAAAACCCAAATTTCATATTAATTTGGGTAATAAATATCAAAGTATATATGGTTAAAATTTCCAATTTTTTTTTTTCAATTAGCAATATAGTCTATACCCCTACAGACTTGACTAAACCAATTAAGTTACATAATTATGGGACACAAAGGCAAGTGATGACGAGTAACAAGTTCCAACAAACTTGATGCATCAATTATTTTTTCAACAGTCACGGGTCATCAGAAAGACTACAAAAATGTGGTTGTGCGCCGGTGCTTAAGATTATTATTACAAAACCCAAAAAAGTAACCCATCAATAGAGAAGAAGAAAAGAAGACACAAGAAAAGTGTTAATACAAAATCATCAATAATTTTTCAATTATCACAATTTAATAAGTGTTTAAACAATTTTGTTTAAAGAAGTTTTGTATATACAATTTCAATATAATTATTCATTTCTCTCACATTTATTGTTGTAGTACTATTATTTACATATCATCCATGCATCCCATGAGTGGTATACTAGTTAGATAGAAGACAAAAAGGAAAAAAAAAAATGTGAAAATGAAAATGTGGTCAAAATTAAAAATAGGAAAAAAAAAATAAAAAATTGATCCCATCAATATGAGCTTACCATTGAATCACACACAAGTATTTTTTTTTTTTTTTAAAAAAA